CTCAGGTAGGTGCCAATCGCGGTGTCGCCATTGGGCTGCCAGGACATGTTGTCCATAATGCTCCCAATCCCCTGGAGACTTAGTTTCTCCGAGTTGTCCACGTTCTGATTGATGAACCGCAGCGCGACGCCGTCGCCCTCGGGGAGGATGCGCGTAGTGATCTGCGCGATTTTCTTGACCAGCCGAACCTGAGCATCCCAACGGCCGTCGCGCTTCATCGAACCACTGTCGTCTACAGAGTATCACGAGTCAGAACTGAATCAAGCACGGTTGAGGAACATACCGCAGTAGATGACTTGCTGGTGCAAGGTTACCTTGATCGTCTTGGGCAGCAGGTCTGGCTGTCCGAGCGGCGTGCTCGGGTCATTCTCCAGCTCAGTGGCTTTCTTTGCGAGCTCCTGTATGTAGTTGGGGTTGCCCTTGAAGAAGCGCTCCAGCGTCGGGTTCTCCTTGACGAAGTTGTCGACGTTTTCAATGAACTGCACCTTGTTCGGCGTCTCGCCATCGTTGACGACCTGCATGGCTCAATCAACAAACCCAATAAAGACGACGGGACTGAGAGAAGGCAGGAGGCACTAGGCAGCATGCACATCCACCATTCGACTTACATCGTCGATGTTCTCGTTCAGTTTTGGATTCAGCCCAAACAACCGGCCCATAATGCCGTTGGCCGTCTTGTTGACCCAAGCGACAACGTAGAGCAGGACAGAACCGACCACGCCGGCCAGCTTCGCGAATGCCGACTGCTCCTTCTCCGGGTCGAGTGCGCGTGCAACAGCTTTGTCTGACGACGCAGCGGCCATCTTCTCCGCGGTCAGGCCACTGTCGTTGGTGGCCGTCAGACTAGCCCCAGCCTTAACGAGCAGTCTGATGGACTCGACGTCCCCGCTGAGTACGGCGTACATCAGCGGCGTGTTGTTGCCGTCAGCTGCGGTGGTGGCGTCGACGGAGCCGGCAGGCGTCTTGCTGAGGAGGAGCTGGACGATCCTGGGCCGGTTCCTGGAGGTTTCGCGGGTGGTGACCAGGAGTGCGGTCTCGCCGTCCCGAGAGGGCGCGTCCGCTTTGGCACCCTTCTTGAGCAGCTGCTCGACCTCGTCTGCGAAGCCAGCTAGTGCAGCGGTGGCCAGAGGCGCACGGCCTGTGGCGGGATCCTGTTCGTTGAGAATGTTGGCGTTGTTCAGGAGGTGGCGGGTAAGTGTGTCCCCGACGAGCGTCCCCTGCCGTGCATCTTCGTGAATGCCCATGGTGCGCGCGAACAGAGGAATGCAAGACTGCGCCAAACTTAGGAATACCTCCTTATAACCTTGCGCCCGAAGTACCTCGCAGTACGTCGTGAATGCCTCGTGGCATATCGGACTCAGTCTCGGACCAAACCCTCATGACATCCCAAAGGGAACCCTGTCATGAGTCGGTTTTAGGGCCCACCGCGCTAGCGTACCGAGGCAACATGCAGATAAGAGGGTAAAGATCCTCGTAGTAGATGCCGGTTTCACCACGCAAGAAATGCTATAATGGCGTTCAAGCTGAACTTATTGGATGCAATAACCAGGACCGTACCTTTGTAGCGACAGAAAAGCCTTGGACTTAGATAGCAGAAAAATTAAATGAGCTCGGATCGCACCGTATGCACAGTTGATCATGGACTTCTTCTCGATAATGCTTTGGACGGTCGTCATTTTGTTCTTGACTTTGTCAGTGCGTTCAGTGGCAACATGGGTCCAGATCTAATAGTAAAAGAAACGCCAGAATCCTGAGCTGCGAAATCGGCGAAAATGGTGTTCCTTACGATCTGGCCCAATATTTCTCGAAGCAATCGAGATGCTGGTCCACATTTTCCCTCCCTCCTAGTATCTGGACAAGAGATAATGACATATAGGGTCATGATGCTCCACAAGCTGCCAGGGTTCTCGGCGCTAGTGTAGGGGCATAATGGTTTTTGAGGGGATTCAGCCAGGCAGATTGGCAGAATGGCAGGCAGAATGGCGGCAGAATCTGACACACATTGGACACACACATCATCAAGTCTTGCTCGTTCCTCGCATAATTCCGCCTCATGGGTAGTCATCTGCCATGTTGCCTGCCGGTGCATGCAACCTACAGTGCACCTGCCGCACACCCTCCACGAAGGCAGGCATAATTGTTCTTCACCGCTCTGAGCAGTCGGGTCTCTTCTCTAGGTGACATCCTCTCCATCCTCTTGATACCATGAGCAGAGCCGTCCGGGCGTTCAAAACAGACAGGATTCCGGTGTTCGAGCGCGGCGAAGAGGAGTACGAGCGTTCCGTCGCGACGCCCAACCTACTCTACCGCTTCGCGCGGCCCGAGTTTGTGCTGCAGCCCGAGACGCCCGCACACGTCCAGGCCATCATCCGCCAGGCTCGAGCGCAGAAGCTCGTGCTCACGATCAAATGTGGTGGCCACTCGTATGCGGGCCACTCGACGGCGTTCGAGGGCGTGTCGCTCGACCTGCGCCGGATGAACAAGACCAGACTCGACATGGCTGCCAAGACGATAACCTTCGGCGCCGGCAGCCAGTGGGGCCATGTCTACAAGACGCTCATCAACGGACGCCACGATGGCTTCGTGATCAATGGCGGCCGCTGCCCCTTCGTGGGCGTGGGCGGGTTCCTCTTAGGTGGCGGGCTCGGGCCGTTCTCGCGCAGCATCGGCATGGGCAGCGACACCATCAAAGAGATCACAATCGTGACGGCGGACGGCAAGCTGCTAACGGTCAAGGACACCGACAGTCGCAGTTCCAACGAGGGCCGCCTGTTCTGGGCGCTGCGCGGCGCCGGGGGCGGCAACTTCGGCGTTGTGGTGGAGATGAAGCTGGCGGTCAAGCAGCTGCGGGCGCCGGGCGGCCTCGTGGTGGCCGGGCGCTACCAGTGGTTCGCCAGCAAGAACGAGCCAGACCTGTTCGACCAGGAGAACTTCATGTCAACGATGAACACGTTCTACACCACCGACTGGCCCGAGCGCATCACGGTTGACAGCACATGGATCTGCGACCTCCGGGTGAGCTCGGGCAACGGCGTGCGGTTCCTCACGTACTTTGACGGCGGCAAGGACGACTTTGACGCCACCATCGACCAGTACATAAAGCACCCGGAGCTGGCCAAGCAGCTCAAGCGGCGCTCGCTGCCCGAGAAGTCGACGCGGTTCCTGCACGAGACGCTCGTCGCGCAGTGGTCCGAGGAAACGGTCAAGGCATTCCCGACCAACAAGAGCTACAGCATCTACAGCTCCTTCGTCTTCCGGAACGACCGTCCCACCATCGAGCGGGTCACAGCGCTGATCCGCGACAAAGCCGCCGCGTTCCGCAAGGCGTTCCCCGGCGAGCGCGTCGAGTTCTTGGCCACCTTCATTCATTCTGGCGGCAAGATGAGCACCCCCAAGCCCGTCGAGTCGGCCTTCTTCTGGCGCGAGGCGATGTACCACATGTACCTGACCCTCGAGTGGGAGGACAAATGGATGGAGCGGGACATGCGGGCATTCCTGGGCGAGGCCAAGCGGGAGCTGCGGCCGCTGTCGCTCCAGGGCGAGGCGGCGTTCATCAACTTCCCTGACGGCGCGCTGCCGGCTGAGGTCTGCGAGCGGGCGTACTGGGGCGACAACCGCGAGGAGCTGCGCCGCGTCAAGCAGATCTGGGACAAGGACAACTTCTTCCAGTCGGAGCAGGGTGTTCGCCTTCCCAGCGGATCCAAAGGCGGGCCTGGTGGCATTCCAGACAGAGGCGACCGAAACGAGCCGGAAAAATCGGGCGACCAGGGCAACGACGAGGACTTGACTGATTCTCTCGCCAGCAAACAGTGGGAGGTTTACGAGACGAAGGATATCGTAGGGGACCTCCAGGAGCTTGCGGATTTGGGCTTTTGAATTGAGCAATCGTGCTCACACTCGATATATAGTAATGATATACGCTGTGAATTCGGGCGGCACGTACGTTTCGGGGAGGAACCGGAGCTGGCTTTTCTTGTATTTTGCGTAGGTTGATTAAAAATAGTAAATCTGTAGGGTGAGGTTGGAGATTGCGCTATGTGACCTCAGGAACTGGATGTCGTACCGGAAGGTAATGCACGCTTCCTTTTCGATGCAGTCGAAGAGTCCTTTCTGCAGTAGCGGGAACCACTGGATATCATTCAACATCTCTCAAGTGCAAGGTACAGTACAATATGACCTACAATTCGATATGCGCATCTCCTACAAAATGCTTGAATATCGGGCGCAATTCCAGCGCGAATCTCTCCGTGTCCTTGTTGAAGCGAATCCACAGGGCACCCAAGTAGCGTAGCATCCGTTCTCGACTTTGGGGACTTCGTTGAGGAACCGAGTCAAGTTTCTTGAGGACAACTTGAAGAACGGAAGTCACGGTGTCCTGAACCGCCTGAGGCAAACGTGTTTTCTATACCACTCGGCGTTTACCTGGAAGCTACCTTTAGGAAGCCGACTGGCTGATCATACAGTCTAAGCGCATAAAGCAAGATGATCTGCTGTATGGTTGCCCACTCAGTCTGTATGAACCCGGAGGGCGATGACGCTTGCGTGGATTGCGGTCCATCCTCCGCTGCTGTCTCTGAAAAACCTTCAGGCCAGTTGGGCGGGTCACGCAGGGGGGCAGCCTGGAGTAAAAAGGTTTGTAATCGGATGTGGCGATGTGGGCGAGGACTTTGGTGCGCACATCGGTTGCCTTCGGAGCTGTATTGTACTGGGCGGGGTCGCTTGAGGTCGACGGGCTGGACACAGAAAGTTGATTGGCAGCAGCACCGCCACTGTCGTGTCCACGCGTCTAGTCATCTGCTCATCTGATGCGACGTTTGATTCCGGCTTGGCGCGTAGATTCGATCGCGAAATTTTTCTGCTTTTCTTCGTTTAGTCGTCGTGGCTGTCGTCCGGTAATGTATGCTACAAGGAATATTGGCATTCCCCATGTTCACACCGCTGTACGTATTTCAGCCACAGCACTAGCCTGTGTACTATAAAACATGTCCCTGTCAGTGCCACCCACTCTGGTGTGGCAGTGGTTAATGCCCCCCTCGTTGTATTTCGATGGGCGGCGGTCGGAGGTTCGATCCCTCTGAGTGGCGCTGTTTAGGTTTACCGGGCTCCGAGGCTGTGCCTCCGCGTTCGCGAGATTCTCCAGGGTGCATTTTCTCCGTGCCATGCTGGGTTTCACAGGTTTTTTCGCCTCTTTTTGCTTTCCTCTCGGAAACAACATCAAAAAGTGTCTCCAGTCTGGGTCTAGCCGGAAGATGACGCATACAACTCGAGTCAACCTGTATCCGAAAGCAAAGGAAATTCAGTCTTCTACAGTGCTGCAGGATTGGTTGAATTAAACGGAGTTAGATGAGTTGATTGTAGTCTCCCGTAGTCAGACTCCACACAGAGTATATGACAGTCAATATATCTTGATATGAGTAATTGGGCTTCAGCTTGGTTTCTGAACTTACTACCAGGGCAACGTGGTGCTTTGAAATTTAAGGTTCACATACATTCTGCGAGATGAACTCCTCCGACCATCGACAGGCTGCCCCGTCTTCGGATCGAGCGAGCTCAACATCCTGTCAAGCTTGCGAATCGGGTGGGCCTTGCGCGTCGAAACGACTACCTTTCGTTAATCCAACACTCGAGTGATAATCATCTGAGCAAAGCAATAGCAGAAACAGAGAGTCGTGGGAAGGTGCTCCCGCAAGCTAACTTAGAAGTTGTGTTTCGACTAACGGAATTCATATGAACCAATGCGCAAAAAAATGACGGAGTTGCGCTGTCAAATTTGCATAGTACAGAATACAAACTCAATTCATGTCAAACTATCGACAGTTAAACGGTGCTCCTCAACTGAATTATAGGTGATATACTCACCGGTCAGGAACAAAGCCGGAAGCCTCAGCCCTCCTGTGTGGTTCACCTCGTAGACGATCCAGGACGATCCAATACAGCCCATGGTGTGTGACTACAGCATATTTGTGCAGCTTGAAATGTAACTGATTTTGTGAGTCTTCGGTGATACTTGACCACGAAACTGGTTCACGAGGCATTCAAGCCTTCCTATCTGTGCAACTTAAAGGATCCTTCACGACACAAGACAATCTGCAGTTTTTTTTTAATCATTCGCGATGAGACACCCCCTGGCTGTGAACTTTGTCTGCTCACGTTCAGGATCTCCAAATACTGTTCGCGCCCTCACAATATCACAATACGAATGACTTCAACCTACATCAACATTATTAGTACGTCCTAGAGAATCTTGATGTATACACACATTCTACGTTGTCAAGCGAGTGTCGCATATTCTCGTGTGAACCTTCTTCCATAACGCGGTTGTCCATTCATGGTTGGAATCAACCACCGCCATTTTACACCAACAGCACATAATCAATCACCAACGACACCGTGCGACCATGGCCTGAGAAGTGGGTTTTAAACCCTCCCTCGACGTTGTACGAGCATCTGCATATTCGAGTATGTAAGTTCAAGGGAGCGGGATGGATCGTGAAGGACGTAAGGCATTGTTCTCGTATGAGAATAATCTTGGAGGACTGGGAGACTCGCGAAATAAAATCGAGGTCCTGAAGGATGTGGGCAGTCGTTCTCGTGCAGAAATATCTTGAAGGATTGGAATGGGTCAGTCTTGGAGGAGAATACCTGTCTTGAAGGATTTGCAGGCCAGTTGGGACAAGATCTCCGTGAAGCGCTATGTATGTCGTGAAGGCACACACCTCGTCAAGGAGAAGTCCACAGGTGAAGGGATGTGGGGGACGTGAACGATTGTAAGAGGAAGAGGACGACGAGTGTAGTGATACTGTCAGGACCAAGTACATGGGCAATATAAGTATGTGCTCAAGTTCATCCTACTAGTTCCACGGTCCATGGGGACAGCGAATCCGACGCCTCCTGTCCATACAGTAGCAGAACATCCAGCCCATCCTGGCGAAGCTCATCCAGTGCACTCAGAGTCGTAGTATCCGGACGCCTCACGCCGGGTATGAATAGTGCCGTCGATTCGAACGCACTGCCAGGTGCTTTCCACCGAGAGTTCAGCATCTGAAGATACGCCGAGTCTAGGTACTTGATACTGCACCCGAAAATAATGGAGCGCAAGTGCGGAGCTACCATGGCGCGGCCGGGACGCGCCAGTTCCGACAACCAAGCGAGGAAGAGAGGGTAGGTGCCGGTGACGATTCTGAGCTCGGTGATGGACGTGTACGCGTTCAAGAAGGGTCTCGCCTCAGATGGAGCGAACGACCCTTCCAGGCAAAGGCTGTGAAGAAGACTCGAAGAGCGGTGAAGAAGGGATTGGAGGTGGGCAAGGACCTGGCTGCTCTTCCTACTGTCCTTGACCATCAGGGAGATTTCTTGCAAGGCCGGAAGCCGAAGGTAATCCAAGATTTCACCGTCTGAGCTGCGCAAACGGCGGAGAGAAAGCAGCTCCACGGGATCGTAACGCGCAGCCGTGCCCCCGCCTCCGGGAAACACGACTATCCGTGCTTCAATGAGGTTTTTCGCTACCTGCAAAACGTGCATATGCGCCTCCAAAGAACCGTCCGCCGAGTACCGTGTCAATTGGTGGGCGGGGAAAGGAATTTGACGGGGAGGTAAAGGATCCACATATACATACTTGGCAACGAATTCGGTTAGAGAAGGAGTAGCGGTGAAGCAGTCGACAGAAAGCAGTAGATTGTCCCATTCCTGCCACTGTAAAGATAGTTTGCGCAGGCTCGACACCCGATTTCGAAGGGTAGGGAAGAAGCGGGACATGGCGCGGACCACACCAAGATGGAGCTCCTCCCAGCGTAAGGAGTGCTTTGCCAGGAGGTCGAGCATCTCCATTTGAGGGCCGAAGTCGGAGGCATTGGACGGGAAAAAGTGAATCTTGAGTGACCCGGCGCGTTGTATCTGGGTTTCGACGGCCGGTAACGGAGATACATTTCGAAAATTGTCGGAATAATTGATGTAGACGAGGGACCACAACGACGGGGTCGATACGGCCACCGCTCTCCAACGGGAGGAGATCCAGGTCAACACCAATGGACTGTCATTCCATTTGAGTCTCCCGCCCCGCCGCAATGCCTCGGCGTCCTGGGGCAATGTCCACGAGAATATCTCGCCGAGGATTTCAGGTGGCAATCTTCTAAGCGGAGAGAGGACCGCCTTGTGCCGCTCATAGTGGCTCGCGAGCGACGCGCACTCCACCTCGAGCTGCTGCAGTCGGTCCCGGAGTCGAGACATTTCATCGACGAGGAGCGTCATCTGGGTGCCGGTTTCCGACAAAATGGATTCAAGGAAGGGTAGCTCTGAAGCCTCTGGCGGCTCATTGGTGTTCAAGAGCGTTTCGCGCCGCGTTCCACTCAGGCAAGAATCGGATAGTGGGGTCATCGGTAAGGCAGCGGCAAACACGCTGATCTGTATTGTGAGAGCACAACGTAGAATGCGAGAGAAGACTGACGTGGGTGATGCGAACACAGCCACGCAGACGAGAATTCCACGAATCCATATTTGAATCAAAAATTATTATAAGGATACATTTGGAATGGTAAGACAACAAGCAATTGTAAGACAAGGAGAAAATGAGATAGCAAATGGCAGAGATCACAGCAAGACTAAGTTAGTCGAATGTATACATACCCGAGAAGCGCAACGAGGGCTCCGGAGTGGAGGCAGAGCGCAGGGAGAGACTGCGGAGGTCAAGGAACAGAGTCCAGTGCGACATTAGGGTATCTGCGCCGTGACCGCAGAACGCGCACGGCGTGGGTGCCAGCCGGGGGCCTCTGGTGGGACGCGACCCGTCTTTTCGGCGGTATGGACTCCGAGTCGCGCAAAGAGCACGTCGGTGTGCAACACCGACCGTTCTAGTGTGACTGGTGATGAGCCATCAGCTCGTTCCCGTGCCGTATTCAACGCGGCGAGTGCCTGTGTGGATCACAAGTAGGTCGATGTTATGCGAGAAGAGAGGGAAGTTGGAACGTACGGTGTTATCTATGTACCAGGAACAGTAGTTCCGGAGGTCTACGAGGTTGGCGTTGACCACGGATGCGGCGGCTATAGCCGCACGGAGTGCAGGCTCCTCTTTACGGAGGAACTTTACATATGCACGAAGAAATGCGGTCTCCGACAGACCGTTCCAGTAGGGCCACGAACATGTATCCCACCATGGAAGACGGGCCATGACCTCCGCAACTTGAACCCGCCAATATTCGACGTCCAGTCTGGATAAGAGGACGGAGCCAAGCCCATCCGTCTTCGAGGCAAAGGGGAGGATGATTTCAAGGTCATGCAGAGTATCGTTACACCCGCGTCGAATCCGCTTGGTCATGCGGGCGAAGGTCTCGTTGAGTGTCCCGTTTCGACCGATTGAATTTGAGGACCGGCAAAGTTTCGTAGTTTATTCGAGATTGGTATTTTTCAACGCGGGAGAGTGCTACTTGCGGGTCTGTTATCTTTGCGCCGCTGTTACCGTCAATATGAAGAAACCACAACATACTGCAGTGCTTTGGTCATGACTCATGAAGCCAATTTGCCCAAACCGGACAGTGAGTTCCTCGTCCAGTTTCATGGCCGCCGACAGGAAAGAAACCATCCTACAAACTGAATCAAAGCACGAAAACAGGGACAGAAACAAGAGGTAAGATCGGATATTGCCTAATTCGTCCATGGGAGGTTTTGTGTTTGGTTCGAGAGAGTAGATTGACACAGACGCAAATAGAAATGGAGTGGCCTGATTCCTGTTTACCACGAAAATGAGCTCAGAATCGACTTCTTCCTGTACACTCATGTCTTCAGACCTTGGGCTCGACCCCAGCGACCCGCTCAACCTGCTTCTGCACAACCACTCCCAGCACGACGGTGCAGACACAGACACCGACTCGGCAGGCACCCCACCAGACTGGAACACCCTTTCCAGCATGTGGCCACCAGCAGAGGACAACAAGATCGAGTTCAACATGGACTTTAATCTGATGGACATGTCTTTTGACCCCGCGGTCGGTATCGAGGCTTACCCTTACCCCACACCCGACCCATTCCAATTCACCTTTGAATCCCCGCATATGAGCTCAAGGAGTTCCTCCGAAAGCGGCTCTACCTCTGG